ATGCTCTTTTCGCAATATTTTGAAGAATCTCGCGCATTTCGCGCGCATGTCATAATTTGAACAGTCGTATTCACTAAAATACATGCATCAACTGTTGAAACGTATTCGTCCACCTGGCGTGTTGGCGCGGTCATCATTACTGAAAACATATGTATTCCTAAATCGGTGTTGTTGCGATTGACAATACCGACCCCGTCCGAGACTATAATAGCGGCTACCGTGTCCTGGCCAATCATGCTCAACATCGTAAGCCACCAAAACCGTCACGCCTGGGATGCAGTCTTCTGCAGCGAGGGCGGTGCAGACCGCGTTTTCGCGTGCGTTGCTTGGTCGATCAATCGTAAAGTTTCCCCACACACCCGACCCCAATTTTTAAACAAAAATGCGGCACCGATCCTGGCAAGGCCCATTTTTGACCCAGGATCGGTGCATATGCCTTCCTGGTAGGAGGGCGTATGCACCGATCCTGGGTTCAGGATGGGCCTGGCCAGAATCGGTGCATGTGCATATTTCTTTTCCCTCTACGAACATGAAATGCTCGCGTGATTTCCGCTTATATCCCGCTTCCGCGAGTGTTTTATTGCACCCCGCTCATATATCACATTTTCACTCGAATTTCCCATCGTTTTGTTTTTTTGCACATGTGACAAATAACCATCATACCTATGGACTAGTGGTTCCTTCGGAAATTGGATGAAATATATTGGTGTGGTATTGGTTCTGCGTTGTAGGATTGGGGATCCAAGACCAAAATTGTGGCCAGTCGGCCAATTTTATCCCTCTTGTCTTTCCTCCCGCAAGACCGCAAATTTGCGAAAATTCCTGCAGCGGGCGAAGATTCTGGGGCAGTGAGTATGTGCTGCGCGGCGCCAAGGCGGCAGCATGCCCTTAGGGCTCGGCACTCAAAGATGCGAACTGGTCCGCCGAACATACGGCGGAAACCCGTGCTCCGGAAACCACTCGGCTGCAAGCAATGCGCTTTCTTCGCCCAGAGGTCGTTACTGATCGCCTCCACGCACATGTTCCACTTACGCTGCCAGGGACATCTGCACTCATGCAGCGCGCGCTTCGCCTGCGGAGTCACCCGCTGCAGCCATTCTACCCGCGTCTCTAATTTCCGGCTCAGCCCTAATATCATGCGAACCATCTTCAGCTGAGTGGACCTCCGCCGCGCCATTCTTGACTCTGTCATCACACAAGACGCACAACCATATAAGATCGTAACACAGCAAGGAGCAACTTCAAACGCAAAAACAAAAGCACGGCCTTGTCGATGAACTCGCCGCAGTACACGCCAAACTTCGACCACGCCTTCCGGAACCGGTTGGTGAGCTCTGAATCGCGCGCGACGGTTAGCGAGAAGATCCTCCCGAGATGCATGGTGTGTTCTCCTGGGTCCAACACTTCGATATCCATGCCTGCTACCGTCGTTTTCTTGACGCGGCTGCCATATCCGATGTTATTGTGCTAGGTATTCGTGTTAGCAGGCCTGGACAATGTCTGCCAGCAACTGCTTCACTTGAAACAGCGCGCGGCCGATGATCAATCAATATACATCAACAAACCGCAAATTGGTGACAAACGGTGCTGGGCCATACCCAAGCTGAACGCCATATTTCCGAGTCCTCCAAAACAGAATTGCACAGAATGGGGCTGACTGGGTCTCCTTGTTTGGTCCCCCTGCAAATGCCGAATTCGCGGCTGGTGGCAGCGTTTCGAACTCGGCCGCGTTGCCCCTTGTAGTCTGGAGAGGACGTCCACACTGGCGGAGCGCCGTGCGAAAGCAGCGACGCCAAGATATTACTGTGGTCGACTGAATCGAAGGCCTTCTCAAAATAAATCCAGCGTGGCAATCCAAAGGGGCAAGTTATACTCGTTGCGCTTCTCGACAATAGTAATCAACGCCAAAAAGTCGTCATCGCAAGAGTAGCCAGGCCGGAAACCCGCTTGATGGCACGATTTGGTCTAGTGGGTATCCAGGATATGCGCCCACACAGCACACGACTGAACAATGAACCAGTAGGCCGATTATTCTCTGCGAGCCTCGAGCCGCCCTTCTTCCTGGTCTGAACGTGGCTCGAAGGCTACCCCTCTTCTGCGATGTCACGGTACTGTCTCCCCTTACCCGACAAGGAGGACCCCGACCTGGCACGAGCAATGGGGGCGGCAGAGCGAGACAACATCACGACGCACCACGAGGTCCTCACTTCATGTTCGGGGTCTCTGCAATGCCTCGGATGCGAAGTATTTGGGCGACGGGGGCAACAATATATGTCTTTGGTGCCAGCTCTTGCGCGAGAGCGGTGCCGAGACCTACCAGCGCGCATACGCCGTGGAACAAAACTGGGACTGGATGGTGGGGCATCTTAGGGCTTACTCTACAACAATATGTGGCCCATGTGGTGTTACACGAATACGCAGACTTGCCCAACACGCAAGCTGAATCTGTATGCCCGCTGGAAGAGCTCCTGATCGTCGCCTGAACGGGGGACCGTTACTCTCCTTCTCCCCTACCTCCTCCTCCTCCTCCTCCTCCTCCTCCTTCTCCTCCGCTGGCGCTGCTTAGCCGGGCCTTTGCCGGTCACTTGACATGATGTCTGGCTTGCTTGTTTCACCATATGTGCACCTGGTGGCTCTTGTGTCCGAGGCTGATGGGAAGGGGAAAAACAAGGATCCCGTTCCGTGCGACCCATGGAAACGTTAATGTCAATGCTGCATGGCTGAGCTTGCCTTTGATCTCAAGTTTGGTAACGTGATCAATTGGATGGTCAACGGCATCATTGTTTGCATTATTTTTGCTATATTGCCTGCGATGTTCAAGTCGAGACACTTATGGAAATTGTTGATCACGGGGCGATTCAAATAAGACGTCCCATTCCACACGGTCAAACAAATCGATGCGATTCCCCTCCGTGGGCCGTGTGGGGGAGAATCCCCAAACCATGATGCAATCACCTTCGATACATAATGAGATATCCAGAAAAATCGCCAGCTTGTTGCATTAATAAGCCCTAACGCTTCAAGCTTTTCAGGCTCCTGGGCGCCTCTAGGGACCGCTTCGGGCAGAAGGTTGGGCTTTCCGGTTTGTGTTTTTTCTGTGCCCTTCTGAATCCATCTTGGACCCTTTCGGGCGTTAGCTGTCTTGGTTTGTGGTTTTTGAATTCTTTTGAGGCTCTCTTGGGAGCTTTTCGGGCGTCTGGATATCGGAAGCTCTTTATGGCCGTCTGGGAGCGTCGGGAAGCGGATAAAGCGAAAACGCACACATCGTTCGACTTTGGCTCTCGGGGCTCTCTTGGGACCCTCGGGCGTTTTCTGGGGCTCTCTTCGCCCCTTCTCGGGCCTGCAGGAAAGCCACGCGACGAAACGCGCCTACCCCCAAGACGCGGGAAGGCCCAAGAGACTTAGTATTTTCGGATCCAGGCCCTACACGTCGTTCATTCCCAATTGTGTTCATTTCTAAGTGCGCTCGTTTCTAATGGTTCCTGGCCCCCTAGTGGCCAGGAAGAGGCCCAGGATAGAACAATTAGAAACGAAAGGATCTTGGACCCCCAGAAAAACAACGCGTTTTCGAATATTTAGAAATGAACAATGTGTAAAGGTCCGACGACACGCCCACTGCGTGCACAGCGGCACGGTGGCGGGTATAGAGGATCGGGGGCGAGCGAAGGCAGGAGAGGACACGAACAGGAGGGCAAACGAAACATTTCGAGGAGAGGCTCGAGGACACGAAGGGGAGAAGGAGCAAGACCTGGAGAAGAGAAAGGGGAGGAGGGGCAAGAGGAGGGGGAAGAAAGGAGGCAAAAACGAAAATAATCAGGGCAGAAAGCAACGAAGGCTGGACGCTACGAAGGCCTCTGGCGACCTCGCCAGGCGGCCGTCCCGCGCAGCGCGAGGGGTGGGTGCGGGGGACGGCCCGGCGCTTCCAGAGGGCGGCAAGGGCCCACGCTTGAAGCCACGAGGGCCTCCAAGATGCCTCGCAGGGCAGCTCTCCCGCTCGAGTGCCTCCCCGCGTGGCTGACCTCGCTGCTGCCGTGCACGGCCCGGCCTCGCTCTGGACCGCGGCGGCGTCTTGCGGGCGCCGTGGGCTTTCGGCGGTCCTCTGGGCTGCCCGTGCTCTTGCCCCTCCGCATTCTCTTCTCTTCTCTTGCTTCCCCTCCTTTTCATTCATCGTTTGCCTTCCTTCTCTTCTTCTCGTCCTCTTCATATTTCTTCCAGTTTGAACGGTCCCTGGCAGTTTGTGAACGTGGGCATTCATGTCTCGTCTAGTTGGCAGGGCGTGCGAAATCCGAAAGATTGATGCGTTCGCCCCCCAGAAAGAACACATAAAGGATGAGGGAGCAATTTCGTCATCTCCGTCGTAGTAGTAAAACCGCAGAGGAGGAGGGCGAAAAGGAAGAGGAGTAGAGTTAGGAGCTTTTCGAAATACAGGGGGGGCGGTGGCTGCTCAGCAACCCGCGGCGCCGCAAAAACACGGAGGCCGCCTGGCGTGCGTCGCTTCTGCTGGCGCAGCCAGTTCGAACGGCTTACAACGGCACGGGGAATTTTGATCATCCCTAAACTGGCTGCTGGACGCAGGTGGGGGTGCTCAAAGGCCTGAAACGGTGGTGCTCCCATGTGCCACAGAAGGAATGGCCGTGTCAGTCGCGTTGCCAAAGGGTCCAGGCGTTGTCGACATTACCCCGTGTTTCCTACACACGCCCGTTGCTGTGATGGCTCAGAAAGACAGGCGCTGCCAAGTTCACTCGACCCCTCCGGCCCAGCAAAGGCGTCCCAAATACTCATTCTGAGGGCCACATTCAATATGGCTTTCGCAGACAGCGACGTCCGCGCCATGGTCTCTGCTGCAGGGCAGGGCGCATTCGGCGGGAGCGGGGGCGACAAGGTAGCTCAGTGGGTGCAGTTCGTGGCGTCTGTGCAAGATGCCCCAGCAGATACTCACCCGCTCATCTTCTACGCGGGCACGGCCCAGGCGCTCGCCGAGTCCATTGGGTCAGTGGAGCCCACTGATTACGCAGAAGAGAAGATGCGTGATTTTGTCATCAGTAGCTTGCAAGTGAACGCTGTTCCTTTCGACCAGGACCAAGTTGAGCAATGGAAAAACTCCAAGCTCAAACCTGCCCACATCACCTTGGCCCCCAAGGTGCAAACGAAAGCGATGCGCGAGTTCCCGTCGGGCCGCCCGGGCTCCAGCAGCGCCGCAGACCAGACTGCCCAGGCCATTGCAGAGTGGGCCAAGGTGCAAAACGCCAAGGCGGAGAAAGAAGCTAAGCGCGGGACGTTGAGCTTCAACTTACAGGACAGGATCGCTGAAGTGGGGCTCCGGTGCGCCCAAGGAGATTTACTCCCCACAGAAGAGGCTCTTCTCCAGGGATAAGGGCCGGAAATGGGTGGGCCCCCCTGAGGGGGAAGATCTGCTCGCGAACTTCCGCCCAAGGTTTTCGAAAACGCCTAAACTGGACGTCCTCGTGGGCAACGGGACCATCGGTGACAAAGTCACGGAGGCCCGGGAAGCGAAGCGGGCCCGCACCATGGAGGAGCGGATCGGCTTCATGGGCTTCGCGAATTTTCTCGATCACCTCCACGATGGGGGCGCCAAGATGGTTCTCTCCAAGGTGATCACGCCCGTGCAGTACTGGGCGCACGAGATGCAATTGGTGCGCTTATGCGAGGAGCGCGGCGGCACGAGGGTTGCGTTCTACTACGACCTGCTTCTCCGCCAGAAGCTGGCCCGTGCCCTCGAGCAGGGCCAGGGCGACCAGGTCGAGGTCCTGCTGTGCAGGCTGGATCGCGACGTGCTGGAAGAGCCAACTCGAAGCAGACGAGCGGCCCGGCGTCATCGCAGGGGGACGCGCCTTCGCAAGGAGGCAAGCCGGGAGCGCAGGGCAAGGGGGGCCAGAAGGGTGGTGGCAAACCAGACAAAGGCGGAAAGCACAGCAAGCCCCCCAGGCCGGCCCCGACCACGCCCCAGCGCTCCAGGAGCCCGCCCAAAGGCAACGGCGCAGCTTCTGCGCAGTGGCACACCAAAGGCCAGGAGAAGAAGTGGTCCAGCTGGTGAAGTGAACCGGCGTTTGCCTCCAGCGAGGCGCTTTCGGGAGAGGGACACCCCCTCGGCGGGCGTGTTTAGCACTGGCGAAGGCTTCTCTGCTCTCTGTGGCGCTGTAGAGCACTTTTTAAGTGATCCTGTTAGATTAGCGGGCATGGGCCCGTTTGCTCATTTAGACTGGGCGCTGCACCTGCCGCTGTGCACCGGGGAGTTTTCCATCCCTGAGGCGTCTAGGAATGCAATTCATTGGCATTCAGCCGACCCTAGCGCACTGTGCAGGTGGCGCCAGTTGAAATACTGGAAGCACCGCCAACACGTGACGGCGCCGGCGCGGCGCGACCAGTACGCGCGCTTGCCGGTGCACGTCCGTGCCATATTGGGGCCTGAGAAGAACTCGGCATGCTGGAGGCCTCGGGCTCTCCAGACACTCACCTCGCAGCATCGCTCGCGCAGGGTTTCCCTCGAGCGGGGCACGCCCCCCCGAGTGGCACCATGTGCTTGAGCGACGCCGTTAGCCACACATCGCCAGAGGAGCTGTTGGAGGCAGCGCCGGGCGCCAACGCTAGCATCCTGCAGAGAATCCGAAACGCACCAGCAACGGACTGTCGCGTTGCAGAAGGCCTCGAGGCCCGCATCCGGGCGGAGGTGGCGGCTGGACAGGCCGAGTGGCGCGATTTGCCGTCGGATCTCTCGGGCGTGGTGTTGTCCCCTCGGTTCGCTGTGGACGAGGGCTGGCGCTTTCGCGATGGACAGTGGTCTCTCAAGGTCCGCGCCATCACAGCTTCCGGGGTCAATGGCGCGACCGCGGTCCGAACGCGTCGCCCACGAAACTCTCGATGATTTAGTGGCGGCGGCGCAGTGCCTCACCGCTGGTGGAGCCAGCGCAGCGGACGTCCCCTTCCGCAAGGATGACGTCTGCGAGACCTACAAAACTCTCCCGCTGCATAGTGAGCACCTCCGGTTTGCGGCCGCCGTGACGGCGGAGTCCGTATCGCAGGATCAGTTCCTGCAGCTGTTCTGCTGTCCCTTTGGGGGGAAAGCGAGTGTCCATGCCTGGCAGCGCGTGGGCGCGGCTTTTCAAGCTATACTTTTGCGTTTGCTTAGCATCGTGTATCCACGTTTCGTGGACGATTTTTTCGGCATTGATGCAGAGCAAACGCACGAATGGGGTGATAGCGCCGTACGCGCCGCCTCTTTTGCTAGATTCGTCATCCAGGATTTGCTCGGCTGGCGTCTTGATTCACACAAAGCAGTTACGGCAGCTTTGAGTTTTGTTGCGCTGGGCGTGCGTGTGTCCGTGGACGCAACCACAGAGTGTTTAAACTTTGACGTGCCCAGCGACAAGTGCGCCAAGTGGCTGGCGGAAATCGCAGAGGTGCTCCAGGCCCAGCGTTTAACGCCAGCGCGCAGAAGCTGGCCGGCCGGCTGAGCTGGGGGGCCACAGCAGTCTTCGGGAAGGGCGCGCGCGTCTATCTGGCGCCGCTCTTCCGGCACTCAGCCGGGAGAAGCACTCGCATCTCCAAGCGTTTGCGCTTTGCACTCCTGTGGTGGCAGCGGCTCCTCAATTCGCAGCCAAGCAGGGCCGTCCCGCTGTCGCCATCGGTGAAGCCACGTTTGGTGGTGTACACTGACGCCTCGGGAGCAGGCGTGCTGGCTTGGGTGGCAGCGCTAGCCGGGCGTAAGTTTTTCGCATCAGCGCCAGTACCGGGCTGGCTTGCGAGGTGGGCCTGCCCGCGCCAGCAGCAAATCCACACCTGGGAGCTAGTGGCTGCAGCGTGTCCACTCTGGCACTTTTTCAGTCTGCCCGAAGGCGCAGCGGGGCTCGACGTTGTGATTTTGGGACGCTGCTCCGCGGGTGCCCCCGCCAGCGTGACTGGAATGCTATGGTGGCTGGCGCGCGGTTTGCTGCATCAGACCGCGGCCACTTTTTAAGTGCATTCCGCGTGCCTTCACATTTAAATTTGGCAGACTGGCCAACTCGCCCAGAGCAGAAGGCATCGGAGTTGGCACAGCTGGTCTCTCGCGGCTTCGCTCGCCTCGAGTGGGCTTGGCCGGCAGTGGATTTCTGGCAGCAGAGGCAGTGACGGGCATGCATTCGCGAGGAAGGAAAAGAGTGCGCAGTTGTTGCTCCGTCAGCGTTTCTTGCCGCGTGCGGCGGCGCACGGCGCCCCGCGCAGTCATCCGTAGTCAGCTTGGCCCAACATGGCACTTGAGTTCATCAACTGCAAACGCGCGCGGCGGGCTCTGGGCGATGGCGCTTCGGACCTTGAGCCGCCAGAAGAAGCATGCTACCATGATGTGGTGCCGCCTGCTCTTGCAAAGTGGTTCACGGAGGTACTTCGGCGTACGCCGCCGCGTTGCCACCCAGCATCGCCGGAGTGTTGCGCGCTCTCGCCAGTGGCGGGGCCGTGGCCGGAGATGACTTCAACGACATGAGTGTGCAGGAACTTCGGGGCGTCTGGCCGTGCCTCCGAGAGCAGGCCAGTGAATTCTTGGCCATTTTCCCTTCCGGGATGCGCTCTCCTGTGGCGCCGCCGGCAGGGCGCTCCCAGGGCAGCGGCGGCCCGAACGGTGAGGTCGCATCACCTTTGGTGGAAATCGCCGCGCCCGCAGGGCCAGAAGGGGCGGAGCTGCCCTTGCTGCTCTTGGCTTCCTGGCCGCAGCTCGCTTTCGGGGGACTTTCATGGGGCCCAAAGACTTGGCCGACGCAGTGCAAACGCTGGGCCGCGTCACGCCTGAAGAGCTCCAAGTGGCGCGGGCTCGGCGCCACGGAGGCGCAGGGGCAAACCCGAGAGAGCGTGGTTGGCAACTGGTGGGCAATATGTCTGAGTTCGCAGCCACGCAGGAGCTTTTAAGACGGGAGCTCTGCGGGTGGCATCGGAGTGCTTACAAGTATGCGTCCGCAGTGCGGCTTTGGGGCCAGGTAGCCAAGGGCCTCGGAGTGCCGCCGCGGCCGCCGACAGACAGCGTGCTGGGGGCCTTTGCTTTCGCAATGCAGAACGGCAACACGCTGATGACGTACTGCGCCCAGGTCCGGGCGGCCCTGCGGTTGGTCCGGATCCCTCTGGGGTGTTTGGAAGACACATCAAGTCTGGCACGGGGGGCCGCCGAACCAGTGCCCGGCACGAGCCGCTTTCGAGCGCGGGCCAGCGCGCACGACACCCGCAGCGTTGTTGGCCACGTGCGGGAGGTGCTCCGGGATCCTCTGGTGGCGGATTCCTTCGTGGTCGCCAGACACTTCTGTCTCCGTTTCGCGTCGGAGGTGGCGCCTCTTGCTCCAGGGTCGTGCTCGCGGTCGACGGCGGCTTGCCCAAGGCGTGCATCTACTTGCACAAGCGCAAGATGCACACAGAGACAGTGGTGACGAGGCGATGCATCTGCGCCCTCCAGTCGCGGCAGCTGTGCGGGGTGTGCGTCCTGCAGCGCCGGGCTGGGCGGGGGCGCCTCTTCCCTGGCCTTTCCTACAGGGCGGCTCTGGCCACGCTGAAAGCAGCGGCGCTGGCGCTCGGCTTCGAGCGCGCGGCCGAGTGGGGCACGCATGCCTTCCGCAGAGGCTGGGCGGACGAGTGCTTAGCGGCGGGCGGCGTGCCGGCACTCTTCCACAGTGGAGGCTGGCGTGGCGTAGCTGCGTTCGGCTACGCTTCTGCCTCCAGAGACGCCGTGACTGCTGCAGAATGGCCAGTGGAATTTTCGAACTCGTCTGCGTCTGACGGCGCGCCGTGAGCGGTGGAGACTGTGAAAATTATCGTCGGGTCATCATCTGTGCTCTCGTCGTCAGCAGTGGGATTGGGGTCCGGGTCGCCGAGAGCCCCAGCATTGGGTCTCGAGGGCTCCTTGGGGTCTCTCGTGCTCCGTTGCCCGGCTGCACGCGGTTTGTCGCCCAACGGTCCGTGCGAGCGCACCGGACCATCCCAGAGGAGAGCGGCCGCACGAGAATCTTCATCATCCCTAAGCTTTGGTTCTGGGGAGGAAGATTCTCACAGGCCGCTTCTGTCCCCATTCGGGGATTCGGTGATTCGGTTGCCTTTCGGCGTCTCCGCTCCCTCTGCCGCCCGAGCCCGAGGCGGGGTAGCAAATATCGGCCGGTGCTCCCGTGGGAGCCTCGTGGCTACGCTGCAGGCCATCGGCTGTGCAGTGTGGCCTGGGCGCGCGCGGCCTCGTCGGAGCGACGCCCTGGCGGGCCGGCGCGCCCTCCTGCGGGCCGCGGGCGCTGGTCGCCTGGGGCGTCGCTTTCGCCGGCGCGGCCAACTTTCCCGCCCGCCCTCCCTGGGGTGTCTGGTGTGCCAGCCGGGCTGGGTCTCGAGGGCTCCTTGGGGTCTCTCGTGCTCCCCTGCCCGGCTGCACGCGGTGTGTCGCCCAACGGTCCGCGCGAGCGCACCGGACCATCCCAGAGGAGAGCGGCCGCACGAGAATCTTCATCCATTCTGTCGCCGTGGCTTGATTTTGATCCCGTGGCGATTGACGCGCGAGTAGCCACCGTCAATGGAAAACGCAACTTTGTATGTCTGGTTCGTCAATATCAGCGCCGTTTCTGTCGCAACGACAATGTTACCGCGGGCTGTGTGGAAGAAGGCGGCGATGAACTGCAATTGCTGGAAGCGTTTCTGATACGGAAAGGCTTCATACTGAACCAGTGGGGTTACTGAAACAAAAGGTTTGTGACTGAAACGATGGAGCTGATTAGTGATCGGTGGGATATGTTACTGAAGCGCTGGGGTTCGTTGCTGAAGCGGTGGGGTTACTGAAACGGCAATGCTTGTTACCAAAACGGTGGTGTTGTTGTTACTGAAACGAACATGTGCTACTGAAACCGCGGTTCTCCGCGTTTCCCCGGCGCGCCTCCCACCCCACGTGGTGCGCTAGTTTCCCGCCCCCACGGCGTGCCATTCACCTGGCGTGCGTGACCCAGTTTTTTTCCCACCTGTCTGTGCACCTGTCGGGTGCATTCCCATGGACGCGTCGTCCACCCCAGGCGACGCGTCCCACCTGGTCCCGGCGCGTCACCTGCCCAG